GACAACAACCACAACAGCAACACCAGCACACCAACAACCACAGCCGCAACGACAAGCACAGCCACAACAACAACCACCACAACCACAACGACAACAACCACAACAGCAACACCAGCACACCAACAACCACAGCGCAACAACAAGCACAGCCACCCCCAGCTACGCCTCGCACTCTGCATCTCCCCACCATGTCCTTTCCCTCGTTGTGCTTCGTTGGCCTGCTTGGGCGTCAGCGTCGTCAGCCCCTTACATATACTGTAATTCACTTTACTCCAAGACCAAAACAATATAGTAAGAAATCCCATCATGAGATTTGAATCTGACAAATTTTCTGACATGTATTGAAACACTATTTCAGCATTCTTTATTGCAAATATTCAGACATTCTGTTTGGTGTTTTTCTGGCACATCTTCTGACACTACTTCATCTGACATTCTTTCTGACATTGTTTACGGCGTATCTTCTGACATTCTTTATGGCGTCTCTTCCGACATGCTTTCTGGCATATCTTGTGAGGGTCTTCTGACATTCTGTCTGGCATATCTTCCGCAGCTCTTTCTGGCGTACCTTTTGACTTTCTATCTGGCATACCTTCGGTCTCGCACATCGTCTGCCAATCTTTCTGGCACTTTCTGGCGTTCTATGTGGCATATCTTCTGACTCGCCGTTGAGGTCCGGCGGGGAAACACTGCCATCCGACGCTCGCGGTTGAGGAGGTGAGGAGGAGAGGAGGAGAAGGAGGAGCAAGGCAGCTGACATAAGACGATCTAACAACCCTCACCTGACAGGTGGGGAAAAACATTGAAACATGCAACATATTTAGAAAACGACATTAAGCCAATTCATTGAAAACTTAAGCGCTCCCCGAAGTCTTTCTCGGAAGCATGGGTCCATCTCCCTCAAAAGCACTGAAGCTGCAAAACCTCCCCCCAGTCTTTCCCATTCCTCCCCCCAACAATTAATTAGTGAACACTACACTCCCCACCCTGACAATTCCCGGACCCTTTCTTCACCACGCCAGCCACCCCGACCACCTCCCACTCCGACCACCGTCCGCTGCAAGGAACGCCGGGACTTCTGCAGCACCACGAGCACCGAGCTCCGCGCGCGCGGCTGCTGCGCGACCTCCGCGCCTGACCAGTCTGTCGCGCGACAGACTCAGTCGGGGATCGGGTTCGCGAGGTGGTGGGGCTTTTGGGGAGGCAAGGAACCACCAGGAGCGGCGGCGTTTTGGGCATCGCGTTTCCGAACGGAGCAAGCTATAGTAACAAGTAAGCCACTAGGGGCTCCTGGCCTTACTACTAGGAACAGGAACAGAGAGAGAGAGAGAGAGAGACCAAAAGAGGTTGAGAGACCGCTTCACGTTCGGACCCTGGTCTGTGAGTGGTACATCTGGGAATGGGCTGTACCACTAAAGGGCGGTGAGGTAACCTCTCTCAAGTAGAGGGAGTACCCAACAAAAAAAATCAAACAAATACAAGACATGAGAAGATGATCGAAAGTGGATGCAGCATCTTATCTGAATGAGGGGTCCTGAAACAGTCTGGGACTTGGAGCTGGAATTTCGAACGCAAGGGATCGCTCCACAGTCTCAAAACTAGCCTTAAAAGCTGGGGCTGGGGTCTTTTTCTGCTATGTCAAACGTCTCACGTACCTGAATTGGAAGGGAAGAAAGAAGGCCCACTCTGCTTCCGGAGTCCTCCAAGCTGCTTCTGGACTTCCACCCACTTCAAATCACCACTCCTGGATGTCTTTCAGGACCTGGGCTCCCCTGTTAGACACACACCTCCTCCATAGACCTTAGGTGGGACAGTCCGCAATTTCTGGCATGGTATCTCCTCTTCCCCATGGCTTGTGAAGATCCCACCGAACCCCACCGCCGCTCGCACCTCCGGGGCCGCGGGGCGCATCCAGGCGCTGCACCGAGTAGGGACAAGGCGTGGTGCTCAGGGGGTAGAGCTCGGCCAATCTGGCAGCGCTCCCGATGCTCCCGCGGAGCCACCCGCGGTCACCATGGTACGTGGGAGGGGGAAGGAGATCCCGAAGCTAGGCTGAGGAGAAGGTGGGACAAACGGGGGCCCGGGTCCAAATACCTGAGGAGGGTGTAGGAGGTGTAAGATCGATTGGATGTATGGAAAGGACCCAAGCCATGAAGCCCGTAAGTTGGACTCCACCATCTGTGCACCTTCGAGGCTTTTTGGCCCTAACAAACGTGCATGGTTGAGGATCCAGGACCGCCTCTGGGCAGAAGGAATCCCCAAAACGTTCCACTGCAACGATGGCAGCGTCCGACAGAGGTCGACCCAGACCTCTTCAGGTTGGGCACACGGCACATGGGGGGTGACTGAAAATCGCATGCCGCTGATGTGACACCGCTGTTATGGGCCGCCCGCTCTCAATGGGCCGCCCGCTCTCAATCCACCCTATACAGAATAATACCCCAACCGCTGATCCATGGTGTGCCAATATGACCTACCTTCACCCAAAGCCACCAGTCAGGTAGGCCACTAGGTCCCTAGGTAGGCGATGTTTGCATACATGGAGCGGTTGGGATATGTGGATGGCATGGAGCGGTTGGTTCAACGGATGCCCCTGAAATCCGAATTGACAATAACGGTTTCATGCGCTCACTTCGATCATTTCATGGAGGGTATAGGGCAACAAACGGCCGCCAGTCGTACCGAACCTGAGGTTCGGTGGGAATGGGGTCAGTGCCAGGAGGTGTAGGGTACAAGTATTCTTGCAATACTCCCCTGCAGATTAACATAGACCACCAAAACCACTGGGTAAAGTTGGAGGATAGAATCAGCAAATTGATTAGATTTATACTGCATATAAAAACCCCAAATTTCAGTGGCTTCCGGTCTGTCGATTGTTATTGCAACGAGAACAAATGCAGTCTTGCCCTGAAATTGAGCAAGGCTCGGAAGGATTACATGTGAACTACATGGCCATTGGTCTACATGGCCATGTTGCCATCATCACGTTTCATCCCACGTTGGCTCTCCTAAAAACCTCTCGAAGTCCAACACTCCCACACTCCCTGAAATCATCACGGAAGTGGATAGGTATGGCTCCTTGAATCACCCATGTTCCAAATACCAAACAGCCAGCTCACTCGACTCCAAGCTTCCGGACCAACCTCCAGTCCCCGACCCCCCAACATCCGCGTCGTCCATCCTCACGTCGAATCTCCGTCGTTGCCTTTGTGGCGACAGCTCCTCTTGCTCTTCCAGTGGCGGATCCTCCCACTGCCGGAGGAACTCGTGCACAGCCCGCCTCGTGGAACTCTTCCAGCGCGGCACGCGGGGCGCGACGTTGGACGGCGTTGCGGCCGGCTTTAGAATCAAAGACCCATGGACCAAACCCATCATCCCTCTGGGCAAATATTCCCAGTCCCATGGAGTCTACGGGGTATTTGGGTTCTGTTGGATCGGCTTTCACTAAATTCATCAGGTTCGACCTGAGTGAGGTTAGCTGGATGGGCATGCCAAGTTCATCAACATGGCCGGTTACAAGGCCCTGCTGGGTTCCTGCCGGCATCTGGCCCGAAGCATTGAATGAACAAGAAGTTTTGAGTCACCAAAGCCCAACCTAGGGTCCGTCTCGCCGCCCTTCCGCAAAGTGGGGCACCAACGAGGAAAAAGCGCCCTACCAAGCAGAACTCATGGACCAACACAATGGTTTGAGACACGGTGGGTCCGTACTCCATGGCGACTTGAAACAAATCAAGATTCAGGAATTCAAGACCTTTCCAAAGGGAAGGCCTTGAGAGATTTCCCTTTCACCAATCATGTATCCCAAACACGACCCGCGAGACTGCCATATTTGCCGATCAGTTGGGGTGGTTCCAGGGGGGTCAATGTTGGCATATATGGTATACATGGAGTGGTTAGGTAATGTTCCCAGCCTCGCTCCGTTCACAGCCCAAACGGACCTGAGTCTATGGCCCCGGTCTATTGGGTGGTTGGTGGAGATTATGTCCTTTACCATGGTTGGTTGGTTGGTTGGTTGGTGGAATTGGACTGTCCACTGGGTCAAACCCATCGACTCTTCTCCCTCGTCCCACCAACCACCCTCCTCGCCCGCCGTCCTCGTCCGTCCGTCGGTGTCCGTCGGCACCTCTCGCGGACGGTGAAGGTGAGAATGGCACAGCGGCCGCCGATCCTCAAGAGCTTCATCGCGCCCTTCAGGCCTCCCGCGGTGCGAGCCAAAGAGTCCCAAACACGATCGTGTGTGGGTTTGGTATATTTCAGAAGGTGGTTAGACCCGCCCAAACCCACCCCAACCACCTTCTCAGGAGGTGGTTGGAGCCCTAGGGATTTACATTCCCTCTTCAAGAGTAAACAGATACAAGTGAGGCAAGTGTATATGTCCAAGGTCGAATGGGGGTGATAAGTATAAACGCTCCATGCCGATCAATTGACCCCCAAAACCACCCCAACTGATCGGTATATATGCCAACCACCCCAATGGAGTGTCTGGGAGTTGGTTAAACGTTGAACATGGACCGGAAGACGATCTTCCACGAACAGGTGGTGTTCAGGTCCTATCTTTCACGGAACCCCAGGTCTTCCGTGGTGACACGGAACAAAGACCTGAAAACCTTCCGTATTACACCCAGAAAGATTCACATGGAACCTGAAAGTTGACTTTTGGGAGATTTTGGAAGACAATTTTCCTCTACGACCCAGTGGTTTTCAGTTCCATGTTAATAACCCAGGGTGCACTCACATCGACACCCCTGACCCCACCGTGCCGTTTCTGGGCAACTATGCTCAAACTCCTGGAGCGCCAAGATTCCCAAACACGACCTGTTTGGGACTGGCATATTTATATACCCTCCATCCAACAAACATGGTGACGTGGAACATGGTGGTGTGGAAGATTGTTTTCCTCTCCGAACAGGCTGTATTCCACTTCCATGATTGTTTCAGGGAGGGCGAAGGAACAAAGGTCCATGTAGGCACCATACATGGAGTCTTTGGGAATTGTGCTTGGTGAGTTTGAGGAGAGAATGTCAATGTAGGCATTATTCTATGGCATCATGATGCATTATGTACCAGGACCCCGTTTCGGGGTGGTTAATGGACACCCCTTAACAGCTAAGGGGCTATAAATATAACAACCCAAACGGAGGCTCCTGGCATATTTGTTCCATGGCCGCAGCAGGATAGATGTCGACAGCGCCATGCTCGACCTGTTCGATGGTGGGAGTCCTTGGGACTGGTCGTCCTGGCCGTTCCCGCCGCCGCCTTCCTCCAATTGCTCGATCTCTCCTGGGGAGCCCAGCATGTCCAGGGACGTGCGTTACCCCGATTTGGTACATGTCTTTTAGATCCCTAGGGCCCAGTCCCACCTTCTCAGAAGGTACTCGGAGCCCTGGGGGATGGGGGATCCATGTAAAAACATGGTAAAAACCGGATGACCCCGGAGAATGACCCTTGTTTCCTTCAACCATCAGGGGGTGGTCCACCTCCATCCTGGTGAGCGCTTTCCATCCAAATCTCAATGTCCAACCCTCGAAGGGGCTCCAAATTCCAGCTAGGGCTCAAAAGCATCAGGTCAGGTGGGGGGGAGAACTTCTACAGCATCAGGTGGGGGATGCAAAATTCCCGCCAATCCCCAAGGATGGTCGTTGAAAACACCACAACTGCGGCTCATCGCTCACTGGCAGCTGAGCAGGTCGTGTGGTCGTGTGACCTGTGACCCGAGGGCACCCTGTGACCTGATGGCACTCACTTCTCGCCACAGAAGTCCGAGAAAAAGAACATGTACACCATGGAAGATATATATGCCTACATGAACACCTTTTCAACCATCCGTGGCCTGATAGGTATTCCTAACCAGGTCGTGTCCGGATTTTGTTAAACATGTTAAAGGGAGGAAGCAAGTTTCAAGAGCTGTGTCCTTGCTCCATCCAAAGGCCAACAAGCAGCAAATCCGAGGATCTGTTGAGGAAAACACGGAGGGCGTTGATGGTCTTCTTACCCGGGTTCACCTGCGAGTTCGTTGTCACGAAACATGCACTAATGACATGCAAGGAAAGCCAGCATTTATACAACTAAACCAATTCCTTTATCTATACATGTTGGTGTCAAAAGTAACGTTGCCATATATTTTTGGGTAGGCAATGAAACCGACCCGACGGTTGAACAACATATTTTTTGGGCCTTAATTGTTCTCAGGTGCGGGGGTGCCCCTCTTAGCCAACCAAACTTGCGTCAACTGCTGTGTCATCCTGCCCTCTTCTGGAAGAATTGCCTCTTTCAAACGCTGCCCTTCACGGTGATTCAGTGATTCCATAAGTTTGCTTGCAATCTGTTTCCATGAAATAAGCTGTGTTATTCTCAACCCAAGCTGTTGTTAATTCATCCTGCCTGCCGAGGAAGAACCAGCTCATTCTGCATCGGAACTGTCGATTTTTGCTGGTTTGATGCCGTCCCTGCTGGGACATATCCTGGATTTGCTGTGCAGGAACCGGACAACATCTTCCTGAGAAGGGGATTCATACGGATTCATCCAATCCGGCGGCCGATCCGCCAATCCAGCCATAACGCCTGGACCCACCAGCCTTGTTGGCGTATTTCCCCAGGTTCACCTCGCGTGGGCAGCTCTCCAGCTTCACCTGCTTGACCACCTGCGTTCCGGGCTGCCTGCCGCCCACCATCGAAACCAAGCGACCCAGTGCGTGTGGAAACTGAATCTATTTATATAGGCATGCCCAAAGCCCCAAAGAGGTCAACAAAAACTTATAGGACATGTCTCCCAACACCATTTTGGAGGATATATATGGATGTATTATTCTATAACGCCTTCTGAGCTGTTTTGGTAACGGCCTGGTCACATCTGGGCCCCTTCTTGGATCTGGGCCGGGTGGAGAGGATTGGAGGTGAGAGTGAATGGTGGGCTGGTCTCTAAGCCAAGAAACTTTATGCTAATTTGAAACTGAATCTGGAACACCCAGTGGTCTCAACCGAATTCAGCGACCAAGCTGTCCCAAACCCTCCATGGCTGACCCCAACGATGGCATCACGAGTAAACTTGGACAGGCTTAAGAAATTGGAGAAAAGTATAAAGGGGATTTCCTCAAAGTAAGAACAAGTGAAAGCCTAAGAACACAACACATGAAACTCTGCCACTTCTTTGCCGCAGTCCATCGTTTTCGCCGGCCCGTTCCACCTCTGCCAGCTCATACGTGCTGCGGTATGCCCCGCGGTGCCGCTGCGTGCGCAGGACTTTTGAGGCGATGCGCTCGGCCATGACCTGATCCTCCTGGGGGACACCGAGCAACCAGGCAGCGCGTGGAATGCGAGGCAGCGCGAGGGTGCGAACGCAACCCAAAAGGAGCCCGGTTTGTATACCTGGAATCCCCTGAGCACCTACTTATTTCTAGGCGATCCAGATTTCTAGGCGAACATGGATAAAAAGTCAGCGAACAAGGCTTCAGGTGTATATATATATATAGACTTAGAAGTTGTGGCCCACCATGTATTTAATGGCCTGAGTCCCCAACAACGATTGCTTTACAAAACCATGTTGAAACACTACCAACCCGAATCAACTATTTTAAACTAAACTGTTTTTAGGACGTCCGAGGTGTATGTACATATACCGCGCTAGGCCCCACCAAAAAAAACGCACCTTAGAAACGTGTTGTTCATCTATGTTTGTCCCATTGTGTGGCCGTTGTTGTGTACAAACATGATGCTAAAACAACTGCAGAATGCATGCGTGAATGTCAAAATTTGCATGGTGGTTTTTGTAAGCATATCGATAAAGTGAAATCTTGGATTTGATAGGAACCAAAATATGCAAACATAATTTTCCAAGGGGATTCACCGCATAACAAAAAATCACCGAAAACACCCTAAGCAAACCAAAAACTTGTAATTTTGTTCTTCTCCCATAGCTCACCATGAAGATTGAAACCTTTGGGTATCCTTATCTTTTCTCCAAAGACTCCAGGAATATTGAAATGAAATTGGAATCAAAAACCTGCCTTTTGGTGTGTTTCTGCTTGCTAATGTTTCTTTGCTGATTTCTGTTTCCAACTACTTTCATCTGCTCAGTGGCTTCGAGGAACTCACTCCCTGGATGAAATGCCATGTTTCCCGACTCACTGGATTCACCCATTTGCACATATGTCATTGAAATGTCATTGGAACTAAATCAAAAACACCGAAAGAACGGCACCCTAGGCAAAAGCCCGGTTCTCTTTTGTCAGCCCACTGGCTCCAAGCTTGCCTAGCTGAGAGTTTATCACTTTCCGTTGGTCAGCTGTAAGAACTTGTCGGTTTGAATCTGACCCATTTCCAAGGGACGAGCACATCATCATGCGTTCCAAGGACCCGATTCCGCTCGCTCGGGTCCGGACTCATGTTCCTCTCCTCGCCGTAGGTGTGGATGACCCATGCTAGCTCCTCTGTGGACGAAACTGGGAATTGAATAACGAAAGCATACTAAAACCACGAAATCCAAACCACATTCATTCCAGTTTAACAGTCACTATTGACATATGATGTTGACAAAATTATGACAAAATACACGTCATTAGCAATCCTCATGCTATATTGAACACACAAAGTAAGTGAGGGTGAGTCACAACGATTGTGTTCTTGTTTGCTTCATTTCCTGCAAACTGGTTACGAGTAATGCGCACATAGGATTAAGTACAGTAACCACCCCTATTAATCAATCCCAGTTCGACCCCCCCAATACTAAACTAATTTAAAACCTAGATTTCCACCTTGGCATCACCCTAAAAATCATTCCTGTGCAGATACCTCCTTCTATTAATCAAACCCAGCTCCCCCAGAAAAATATGGTTTACTATTGAATTTGTACTGTAATTATTTATGGTTTTCTTTTTTTGCTAGCATTCAATATCTTCATCTCCTCATCTTCCTGATTCCCACCACCACCTCTCAACTGCCTTATCCTGCTCACCAATCCTTTTGATGGCTTCTCCTCAGGTCTCATGCTACCAACCAGCCCCCCAAACACCAAAAAATATCTAGCAACAGTCTTTCATTTTCCCTTATTAAAACTTTATTAAAATCTTAACTTTTTCAAGCTCACAAAGGGTACCCCTCACACAGGCCCCCCAATAGTAGGACCCCCTCCAAATATTAATCAATGCCACCCTCTGGCCTCATTCTTGTCTTCCAACGCTTTCATCCTGCGATCCTTTTCCTTGCCCAATTCTTCCCAATCAAAGGGAATATCACCAATTGGCATGGCTCTCTGATCAATCCTATCTGATCTCTTATCAAACTTGTGCCAATACACTCAGAGGACTTATTGACTCATGGCTCTCATGGTTCAATCTCTCATGACACAGAACCCCATCAACCATCATCCATCATCCGGTCCTGGTCCTCATCTCATCATCCATCATCAGGTCATCACCTTTATTAGGGGGATGTCTTCCTCAATACCTCAAATCTCAAACCTTGTTGACCTTGAAGGGGGGGGCCGTTGATTAATCCTACGTCGGCATTATTTGTCACGGTCATACTCATGCTCATGTGATATTCGTGAGCATGTTCTCTCATGTTGTCTGTTGTTGCGGCCTCTTGAAATTGTCTCAAAAATATTCTGGGTAGATTCCAGCTCCCAAAGTTCAACCGCGACCGCGACCGACATTTTTTCCAATATTTTTCTTGGTAGCGCTTGCATGAGGTGATACAGGGGTACCTACTGGTTTTCACCTTCATCTTTGCAAGTTCATATGATGATGACGATGGTGATGGTGATGATGATGATGACGATGACGACAGTGATGATGATGGTGGTGAGGCTGAAAGTGCTTACGGTGATGTCAATACACATGATGATGATGATGATGGTAAATCATCAAGAATACGATCCTGAAAGTGATGTCTACGATGATGATGCTCTGCAGCGCGTTCGCGTGACCTCTGAGTCTTGCAACTTGGCAGCGCGCGGAGAGGTGGTGACGAGGGTGCTTACGTGCCGGCTGAGCAAAGCCAGCACAAGCCACCGGAAGCCAACCAAAGCCACGAATAGCCAACAAAAGCCACAAGATGAAAGTAGCACTTCAGAGCCATGGCTTTGGTGCATGCAGCAGTTTTGGTAGATATGTGCTGGTCACCTTTCGCCAAGTGCTTCCTGGACCAGACGAGGGAACCGAAGGAGCTGATGACCCTTGCACCAGCTTGCGGAGATTGTCGATAAGGAGGCCTTGCCGGTTTGCGGGGAGCCAGTCAACGATGAACACGATGAAGCTGCAGAAATTGGGGAAGCATTAGTGGGAGAAAGCAGAGCAACCAAAGGGAAAACTGTTGTTGTTGAACAACAAATCGCGGAGAATTGCGTTGATGTCAAGTGTGGGGTGGTTGTAGGCCATTCCTGGTAGGGTAAGTACCGGTCGAAGATGCACAAGAAGTTTCGGGGAATTCTTATGTTTTGATTTTTTCAACTATTGTTTTTTTTTCACAGTTTGTGGTGTGTTGGCTCTTCGTGGCTTTGATTGGCTTTTGATGGCTTTGGCTTTTGGCTTCCCCGGTGCAGCACTGCTCAAAGATGCCAGTTCTTTCATGTAGGCAATGATGTTGCTGCGCTGCTTCGCACTCTATCCATGGAGGCCACCAAAAGCCTCTAAACGCCTCTAAGTCTCTATAGCCTCTGTCTTAGTGTCTGTAGCCGCTTGCTCAGCTTAAGCGCTTAGGTGCTGGACATTGCTGGACGTTGCTTTTTCTGGGCTTAGGCTTAGGCGCTCTACTACTGTAATGCATAACTGGATCCTGGATCAGTCAAACATCCTCCAAAACCGCTGAGGAAACCAACAAACACCGGAGTCCCTTCCTCCAGTTCACTTCAAAACGAACACCTACAGAGCCGGAAACCTTCCGCTCGGGAACACCGAGTCCACCGTCCTCTTCGGTGACTTGTTGCAGCCACTCGGAGGCCGAGATCCCATGCGACGGATTCATGCCTGGGTCGCGGTCGCGGTCGCTTGGAGGGTGTCCAGGAGCCGAACCGAACATCAACAGGTCTGTCAGTCTGTCCTGTCCCGGTTCCAGGCAGTTCACCCTGAAAAAGGCCCTATACCCTACCCCTCCTGTCGTACCTCCGAAACGGTTCGGTATGACTGGCACCCACCCCAAACACCTTCTCAGAAGGTAGGACTGGAGGCCTAGGGATAGGGAAAGCAGAGCAAGGAATCACCTGATCAGCCAAAAACCAGGTAAGGCTTTTGTCCTCCAAAACCCGGTCTGGATCTGGCCAAAAGACTTCAAGGAATGGCTGGGGTGGATTGTCTCTGGGGGTGTTCCGTGGCGGAACCGCCTTCATTCGGGGAACGCAGGTGGATAACAACCTGAAGAAATGAGCTCATGAGCGGGCAATGGAAGCACCGTCCGATGTCATAACGTCCTCGGAGAAGCCGCGGAGAAACCGCTCGGGTTAAGCCAAATATCAACGATCTAAACAACACGCCCATATGGGTTTCTGTGTCTCCGACCTCAAGCAACAATGAAAACAATTTCAATGGTTGTTCAATGTTCTTCTATACTAATGAGGGTCTTTATAACTTATGGCTCTTATATGTTGTTTATAAGTTAATTGTAAGTACACGTACGGCAGTTATAGGTACACTTACACAACCTCCATAAGTTCCGTAAGTACTACCGGCAGTTATTATGGCACTTATATAAGTTCAACGTTGTAAGTACCACGCAAGTAGCGCAGTTGAAGTTACGCTACTCACGCGCTACTTCCGCGGCACTTACAAAACCATTGAATTTGGAACATTTCTTCTTGTCTAGCATGTGCGTGCATTCAGCAGCGTCAAGCGGGCTCAAAACACGTGTTTGAGTGCAGTCAAGCAAGACTTTTGGCATGAGTGGCTGCAGTTGGGCAAATTTGGTGACAGCAATGGAGCAGGCTCTGAAGACTTTGGAGCCCAGCCAAAAGGAAATCAGGCTCTTGCATTTGAACTCGTTAGCAGACAATTTGTCTTATGCGCGAGCATCTCCGGAGGAGGAGGCAAGCCTGATAGAAGCTTCAGACTTCTGCACCCAGGAAGAAAAAGAGAAGTTGATGGCTGCTTGCAGGAAGTCGGCATCTGCGACCGCGGTCTCAGCGCGACGCGCCTGGAAACGCGCCTGAGGACGCGCCCGTGGACCCGCCTGCAGGACGCGCCTGGGGACGCGCCTGAGGACGCGCCTGTGGACGCGCCTGCAGGACGTGCCTTTAAAAGGCGCCTGCAAAGCGCGAAGACGCAAACGGGAACTGCGTGTTCGCGCCGGGTCCCCATGCGCGTGGAGCGCACACCGCATGCATCCGGGGAACTGCGGGTTCCCAGGACTGTCCTCCCGCGTGCAACCGCGTGTTCACCGGGCACGGTCTGCGCGCAAACGACAGGGAACTGCGCGTTCCCAGGGAGGGCGCGCTGCAGGGAACTGCGGGTTCCCAGGACTGGCCTTTGCAGGACCACGTGTTCTCGGGCACTGTCAGCGCAACAACCGGAAAGTGCGCAGCTGTATACGCAGCGCGTGTCACCAACACAAAGCGAAAGACGAGAAGGCAAGCAGCCACAAGGCAAGTATGGCGACAAAGGTCACACTCACGCGCGCAGAACAGAAGACAATAGCGTTGTCTTCACGTTCTGACGGACACAGAACGCACACAGTCGCGGTCAAGAAAAAGGAGGTTCCGGCAGCGCCATATCGCGTTCAGGGCATGTACGTTTTGTGGTTTTTGGCGATGTCCGCGGAACGTCCGCGGATGTCCGCGGGACTGGGGCTGCTTATTAAAGCAGATAGGGGCCAACGTCCGCGGAACGTCCGCCGCCTCTAGTGGATATTTCTTGAAAATAGGATATTTGTATGCGCGCAGGCTTTCTGGCTCGACGCTGTTTCCGCGCACATATTAGTCGCCCCTGGACATGGCCGACGCGGAGACGCAGAGACTAGGTGGCAACAAAGATGGACGACGCGCGCGCGCTCTGCTGTCGACCAGGCACGGGGCGCCCGCGCGGCGCACGCTTCCTTTGCGTTGACTGCGAGTCAACTCAAAGACTGGCTCGTCGGAACATGGGACGCGCTTGCAGATCTGCTCAGAGCTCCGACGGCTGTCTTACGTGATTGCACCGCTTGATTCCAGACAGGTTCAGAAGTTGTTACCATGAGCTGTTCCGGAGAGCTTGGGGCGACGACCTGGTGCGGCCCAAGCATCACCACAGATTTCACATCCCCGCGGCGTGCGAGCAGTTGCAGTTCTTGCCGCACTGCGCAATTCAAGAAAAGAAGCACCAAGAAATCAAGCATGGTCTAATTGATTGCTTAGAAGGTTGCTGCGGCGACCCTCCGCTTCCAGAGAGCCATGCTTTCCCGTTTGGTTCCGAGGCCAGTGAGAAATATGGTCTGGGCGACTGGGGTCTAGGGAAACCCGTCAGAGAGGCCACGAAGGAAGACAAGCTCTCCTTCAGAGACAACGGTCTTGTCTACGCAGAAAGCGTCTCCATGTGGAAGAGAAAGATTACCTTGGGCGATATGGTCCTGCTCACTGACAATATAGGCGGCCAATTCGTGAAGGCGGTTTCTGGCCCTGCCTGCGGGCTGTATATGCAATTGCAGACTATGGAGAAAATCGCAGACCATCAATAGGGTAGTCGATGGAAAACCTCTGCAGGCCTGAAGAAGTGGTGGAAACCACAGCCAGAAATTGAAATCACGCTTGCTGCTTGGTGGTGTTTCCGAGGATCCGATGTATGTTGCCTGCATTAGTCGAAAAAAGACCGCTCGACAGCTGCATTCATGACGTCTAGAACATACAAAAACGCAACAAAAAGAAAAACGACGCGCTACTTATGCGCTACTTACGCGCTAGGCGTAAGTACCGCGGATAAGTTCCACGCTAAGTTCACGTACAACTGACACAAGTGCACGTATAAGCACCGTAAGTTATAACGACCCTCATAGTACTTCTACTTTTGGAAGAGTCAAATTCTGCATTTCCATGGGCAGGAGGCACGGTAACTCATAACCCGGGCTGTCCCGTGTAAAATGAACAGAACAAACTACCAAGGAGGTGAACATATCAGGGTGAAACGGGCTCCGGGTTTTCACCCACAGCCATATCAAACAGATGAGCCTTCGCAAGGCACGAGAATTAACCGAGAGGTTAAGGTTTTTCGGTGGTCAAGTGACCTGTCAAGTGACCGTAAATAGGACCCTACTGGGGTACCGATGGGATAGTCTAAAGGTTTTTTCAACCTATGTCTGTGTTCAGCGCTGCCAGCACTTGCTTCGCCAGCGCCGAATCCACCAGCACAGCACCTCTTTCTGCCCCCAGTCTGAAGCAGTGGATTTCAAACACAAAGCGCCTCCGACCATAGACCTATACTCCACCTACCTATACTACTCCCTACTCTATAGAAGTCCGGTTCGACTAGGGCACCACCGAGTCAGGAACATCCCCTGTCACCGAGTCGTGTTTGGTCAACTGGACCTCCCCTCCTCGCCTCGCCTCGGTCCAACCTGGGACGTCGCTGCGCTCCCACCGGTCTCCACCGTCTCCGCCCCCGCCGTCGTTCGACCGGTCTTCGCTCCGGCGCGGCGTCCGCGGTTCGCTTCGCTCCGAGCGTCGCAGGTCGAGCGGCATGCCTTCCTGGAGGCGGGAGTCCTCTGCCTGCGAGGCGTCGACAGGGTGTCCGGAACCCAAAACGGACCCCATTCCGCAGATTCAGAGGTTTGTGGCGTGCAAACAACATCCGCCCCGGGGCACCCGAACCCCACCTGTCTTGGGGTGACCGGAGGTGGGGAGGCGGACGGTTTTGCCAAAGAAATGGTGGAGTGATGTGGAGTGGGCGCTTCAAGGGTTTCACAGTGGGTTTCACATGCTGAGCTGTTGGAACAAGGACTGTGCCAGGACCCTCGTGCAGATCACCAAAAGCCACCATTTCGGAGACCTGTAGTCGGGCGCTGGTCGACTGATGGGTGTTGATCTCTTGAATCGAGGGTTCAAGGTGCCCAAAACAAAAGGCATTCAGAGTTCGAGTAAATGTTCCATCCAGGGATGGTTCCGGTTCGGGGTCGCCTAAAGATCCGAACATGGAACTTGCTGACCCATGCTGAGCTGCTGATCCTGTCCTCAGTGCTTCGGTTTTGACCTACCCGTTGATTGGCCCCTCAAAACCGCCCGCATCCTCACTGCCAGGTCACCACTGGAGGACCTGTTTAAGGCCCGTCCCAACCCCATAGAACAAGAAAACCTGTAGAGTCGGATGCTAGGGATTGGTTCGACCCTATCCCAACTGCTCCATGTATGCACATACATCATATATATTATGAGGCCTACATGACTGGTGATTTTGGGTGGTGAATGTAGGTTATATTTGTTTGCATGGCGCGTTCTTGTATTAGACCCTCAAAACAAAGGAATCGGGGCCGAATCGATCACGCGTAAATATAGTAGATTCAGCTAGCAACTAGTGTTATAAACCGTCAAATGAGGTCGATGGGCGCACGTTTCCGGGCGGCAAACATGATGATTTGATCAGGGGCGAAAATGGCCGCCACCCCATTCAAATCGTCCAACCATGTCCAACAACTTTAAAGGCTGTACCACTCAAATGTATGTTCCAGTTTTGGTCCGGGTCTCCGACTCCATTATCACCCACCCCCAACTTATTGTCCAATTCTTCCCTTGGCCCTGAAACCCCCAACTCCCGCGATGTGTTCCTCATGCGCAGGAAGCCCTGCCCTGCCCGGACTGCGCCCTGGCCGCCTGGTTGTTCGACACGCCCAGGTCCATGAGCACCCCATCCACTTGGCCCACCTGGGCCAAAGCCTCGGCGATCTCTCCGAAGGGCCGGTGCAAAATCCGAAAGCCTCGGCGGATCGCAGCTGTCCCATGGAGTGGAGAGTGGAGCGGATAGCTCGGGCGTGACTTGGCCAGTGAACATGGAGTGGGGTGAGGAGTTGATGGGTGAACCGAGGAGTTTTACAACATGGCTATTGTCCATGGCAGGGGTCGCACCCTCCGTGGCAGGGGTCTGGGGCCAAAACCCTATGTGTTTGAGGGCCCGAATTCTTAGGGTAGAAGCCATGGCAGTGCTTGGTGTTTTGAAACGACTGTGTGTGCATCAAATGCTTGTCTTGTTGGTCACGTTGTTCCTAGGTTGGACAACTGTATAGGTCCACTGAATACAATGCCAGGGTAAAACAATTGTAAAGGTTTAAAGTATTGTGAATCAACCCTTAAATGTTGTGTCTTGCATGTCAAAACCTAGAACTTCATACAATTGGTGGGACGGTGTTCCTCACTTACTTGATGTGTTAGTAATGAATGATCCTTTCACACGACGGGTGTTGATCAGTCATGATCAGTCTGGGTCAGTGCAGGTGATGACACGCCACATCATCGTAGGGGTCAGAATCATTGCTGATTGTGTCCTCTTGATTGTCAGGGGCGGAAGGTAGCCCATCCAACAACCCTCCCAAGCTCCTTGACCAACCAACATCAACCACTCCTCAACCATCTACACAACACATCACCCCCACACAAAAACACCACACCCCCCACCAAAACGCCACAACGGCCACGCGTGGCGCGACGCGGCATCCGAGCGCGCGAGCGGAAACAACGTGCTTTTCACTGGGACGTGGCGCCGAGTGGCGGGGGTCTTCGGCTTCCAGCTGCCGGGCCACCTGCACAGCTTGGGCGTCCACGTCGAAGGCCCAAAGCCGCGAGCAGGGCGTCAAACGCTGCAGCAGGGAGCGCGCGTGGCCGCCGCGGCCGAAGGTGCAATCCACCTGGAGTCGAGATGGAGAGAGGAGGAGTCGCTGCTGGTGGGTGTTAGGAATCAAAAGTGGGTGTAGACTCAGACTCTTGAGGACTTTGATCTGGCCACCCAATGCGAAGTTTGCTTTAAAAACCTTAAACTTTTGTGTGCTGGCTGTTGTTGAATTTTGTTGAAAGGGATCTGGAGACCAAAAAGGTGACTGGAATCAACGAGAACCCCAACTGTGATTATGGTTTTGCGATTCCAATATAGACTCTTGATTAATATTGCATTGATTGATCAAGTTCTCCAGCCGGAAGGGTTGGGATGAAAGGGAATTAGTAGTTGGAAGAATTGGAATGACAGGGAATTAGTATTTGGAAGAGCTGGGATGGAATGATGAGATCCATGAGAGCCCAAATACTAATTCCCTTTCATCATGAGATCCATGAGAGCTTATTGGCACAAATTTGATGTGAGATCTGAGAGATCAGAGCCATGCCAACTGGATCAAAGCATATCAGGGCTTGGATGAGGAATGGGCGATGGAGGCTCTATGTGGTGAGAGTGGATGCCTATTCTGGATGGGAAGATTGGTGAGCTGTTGAGGATTGGTATGATTTGATGGCCTACGACACCCAATCTGAAAGAGATTGGCATATTGCCAGTGAGTATAGGGAGCTGGGCCTTCCAATATGGAGGAGGAGGAGATGAGACTGGAGCATGCATTGGAAAATTGGACAAATGGTGGAATTTGTTGGAGCAGGTTGGGGTATCATGGCAACTATCATGATACCCCAGGTTCCTCCAATCAACCCCCCAAGCAGCTGGGAGCTATTGGGAAATTGGAAGAATTGAGGAAATGGGTGGAAATTGGTGGACTTGGATGAGCAGCTGGGAGCTATATGGAATTTGATTTGGAAGAGTTGGAATGAAAGGGAATTAGTATTTGGAAGAATTGAAATGAAAGGGAATTAGTATTTGGAAGAATTGGAATGAAAGGGAAGTAGTATTTGGAAGAATTGAAGTGAAAGGGAATTAGTATTTGGAAGGGTTGGGATGAAAGGGAATTAGTATTTGGAAGAATTGGAATGAAAGGGATGATGGGGACATCAGAACCTGCTGAGCACACCATTGGTTCCATGATTCATGGGCATATTTTGGCACAAGCTATTAGTTTGGGTGGGTATTTGTGAGGTATTGAGCCATGGTGCACTCAGCAGAGGAGATGACCAATGAGCTGTTGAGCTTGGGTGGTATCATGAGAAGCCATGTGCTGGGCAATGTATGGGTGATCATTGAGGGTATGCTGGGATTGTCACAGCATGACTATATGTATGTGTATGTGGACAAGAATGATGGGATGAAGAAGAGGTTCTTTATGAGTTTGGGGCATGATGGTGATCACCCTGCAGCATCAGATTATTGGTGTATCTATGGTTGGATCATTCCATGGGTTCCACCAGGTTCTTTGGAGAGATCCCCCAGGTGGGGCCCATTGGAACCTATGGGATAGGATGTGGATTCACCAATGCTGGCTGCATGGCATACTATGAGCCTAAGAATGGGGATGAGATCCAGCATGGGCATGAGGAACCCAGTTTCACAACATGAGGAACCCCCCTCATTCCATGGAGAATGTGGGGTGATAAGCATAAAACAATGCTGATGGGCAAGGGTAGGGTTGGATCCATGGGATGGTTTTCCAATGAGACTTAACTATGGGGTAGTTGAACTGATGAGGTTTGCATGGGAACTCACATGAGAACTTTTGGATGAGTGGGCATGAAAGATTGATCCATGGGTTGTTTGATCCATGGGTTGGTTTTTTCAAGGGAGCTTTTGGGATAGGATGTGAAATGATGAGATTTGCATGGGAACCCACATGAGCAGTGATAAGGCTTGCCAATGAGGTGATTGCAAGGCTGTTGTTGGATGAGTCTTGCTGTTAGATTGGCTCATCAGCTCATCAGCAATCAGCATCATCAGCTACTATCAGCTCATCAGAATGATGATGCATGAGATCATCATGATTGTGCTGGCATCAGCCCTCATTGGACTGATTGGGCTATTTGGCTATGAGCATGAGGAGCTGGGGGTATGAGGAAATATATAAGTTCATTGATTAATGAACTAGTCATCAATAGTAGTATTAGTGTTTGAGCTTGGATTTGTTTGCACTGGGCAGGACATGGGTGGAGACTATCAGTGGGCAGATGGGTGCCATGTGTGGCAACATGGGTTCTGTTGAGCGCAGAATGGGTGGCCAAGGTGGGCTGATCAAAAATTCTTACATGAATATATTAATACCTTTTGTTTTTGTATATGCAAAAAATGAGACATGTATATATAGAGTTCTATTTATAGAGTGGGTTCATCTTAGGACAGGATCAGGCATCTGGAACAGCGATTCCAAGAGCTGAGGGGATGGGTGCTTGTCAGATTCTTGGCCTGATCCTGGGTATGACTTTTATTGCTTATTTGATTTGCCATTGATTTTTGAATTGCCTATTTTATTTGTCATTGATTTAATTACAGATGAGATGAGATGCAAGTAATTAGCTAAAGCCATGGCTTTTAGATGTATTTGATCATTTGGTCAGCTGAGATTGGGATGATGAGAAGACATGCACTATGGAGCAAAGATTGGAATTGATGCACCAGTGGATGCTCTATGAGAAGGATGAGGTTACTGGCATGAAAATGATTGGTTAAATTAACATGTTTTTCTATTGGTTGAACTATGTGTGAATGAACTATGTGTTCTTTAATGAATTATTTGATCAATTGGACTGAGGCCAAATCCCTATGGAGGCCACGTTGCACATTGGCAATGATGAGCATCATGAGCACATTGGTACAGATGACCAGATGCAGCAATGTGAAGAAATGCACCTCAGATGGATTGGAGGCAACTTTGTTGATGAGTGTATTCTATTTGAATTGTATAATTAGTCTTTATTGGGTATTGAGGCGCGATATATTCAGCATTCAATGATGAGCAAATCAGTGACATCAAAATTTTGCTGGATGAGTACATGAGCAATGTCAAGGCAGCATTCATGCAACTTGGATGAGGCAGCAATATTTTTATGTCTTCTTGATGAGTGTATTGGTAGTGGTAGTATTTTTTGATTAATTGATTAATTAGGTCATATTGATTAGCAATTGAAAATTAATTATATCACATCTCAGGACTGGCATATTCAAGCCATTGGTCCCAGATGATGAGGAATGGGAGACATTCTGGGATGAGAACAATGAGTGTGGCATCCTGGCTGTGCATAGATAAGGCACTTTTGAGTTGATTAGGTTAGACATAAGTAGTTATGTCAATACCTCACTAGGTGGTATTAGAGTTGTTGTGCTGAGGATGGGTCTATTGGATGCAGCTCGCTTGTGACAGCATGGGGTATGTGAGCCATGATGACATGGAAAAGGTGATGAGACTTGGTATGATTAGAACTATTTTTCAATGAGATGTGATCTTTTTAAATGAGTTCAATAGATTCCATTTGGTCATTAGGTTTCATTACATTATGGAGCTATGTGCCATCTCAGGAGCAAGATGTATAAGAAAGATGAGTTCATGATGCTCTATGAGCAGATGGTCCAGAAGATGGCCACTCTTAAAGATAAGGGATCACCTGGATCAGCCAGGTGATGAGCCTATGGGCTTTTGGCTGAGGAATGAGATTGGCATGCTAGAATGAGGTAGGTGCGCTTATACCATGAATGGGTGAAACACATATAGTTGACTGTATCAGTCCATCGCCTCTATGATTAATTAGGCATGAGGTTGTTTGTGCCTAGGGACTGAAAACCGGACCCACTTTTCTGACATTTTTGGATTCCACGACGCTTGGTCATGTCATCGCATGGTGTTGGGGGGGGTGGGGGGCTGGGGTGAGGGTCAAATTCCCCGCAGTGGAGCGCGTAATGCATAGTATCCCTGGATTCAACTCACAGTCCAACAAGGTTCACAGAGTGGGCAAAGGCGATCGAGCGGCTGTTTTCACACGCACATACCTTGAGCCAAATGGCATGTCAATGCATTGCGTAAGAGCATATCGCAAGATACTGTAACCAAGTTGAAGCAATAGCATAAACGGGGGCCCCAAAACAGAAAACATGGGGGTGCTGTAATTTCGTTCTTGTTTTCACATACGTCTCATGAGCGTGAAGGCTCAAGACGTAGCCACGGTGTGCGCTTTAGTTCCTTGTCCTCCTTGTTTTTGTGTTGTCTTCCTTTGTGGTGCGTCAGCCCTTTTTCTTTAGAACAGTACGTAGACGGCTTAACTCGTGATTGTTCTGACCCTTGAGTTTCTTTTGTTCACGAAACAGGTTTGGGTTCAGACCGTGGCTGGGTAAACTTGGAGCAGGTGTTAGAAACTCATTTTTCGTTGTTCACACTTTGGTGCAATGTGTGGTTGAGGTTTTCTTTTTCGAAAAAAAGAAACTCAGTCCTTTTCTGTTGGTGACTGTCGGTGTTGAGTTGGCGTTTGTTGCGCAGTTGTAGCAGCTCCATGTCGGATGGGTGCGCCGCCGCCGATTTGCTCGACAATGGCATCGATGAAAAAGACTTGCACACGGAGCCTGACTGGGGACAGCTAGTTACACAAAAAGCAGGCAACTTGAGGTGTCGCGAAAAAGACGTTTTTTATTTAGGCAAAACGCATGACAAAGCACTGCGTTTACCAATGAATTTGACATGAGAACCTGCAAAAGAGGGTACGGTTTCCAATCCGTACGGTTGTTTGTCTATTTGCAATGAGGCTATTTGTGTATTTGCCAATCATGGCTCAGCCAATTGAAGATGAGCAACATTTTTGGATGAGCTCAATGCCTCAACATCCATGGGCCCATCTCAGGATTGCAGCCATGAGCGCTGCAATGGATTGATGGGCTGATTGGTGTTCAGATGTTCATGAGTAATTAGGGTTCATGAGAAGTATTTTTGGTGCATGAGAACTATGATATTTATATATGTTGATTCTTTTTCAATGAGGTGAGCTGGAATGAGAACTGATTGGGTATTTCATTCCCAACAGTGTCAATAAACATCTGCTGGCCTGTAGCAACACCCACATTGGCATGGGAAATCCATTTGGCCGCTTGGGCCCACCCGCAAAATGACCCTGCAAACAGGTGGATATCAATGCCTTCCAAAAGAGGCTTTGCACAAACGATGGATGCACTCTTGAAGAAAAAGTCGTCCCCAATCAACGGAGATGAGACTTCTCCCCAACACACCACTTCCAGACCAGCTTCGAGTCTAAGTGAGCGAAGGCCAACTTGTGGCATATGAATAGTCACCGTCCTCGTTGTTGCAGTGTCTTGGCAAAATCCCTCCGGGGCCTGGAGCCTAAGGCCGCTTGGGCCAGAAAGTTTTTGGCCTGTAGAAGGCAGCGTTTGGTGACGGTGCGGCTTTGGTTTCAGAAGCTGCAGGACATTTCGCGAAGCCTCGTCCTTCTCGTACTGCTCCCAGCAGGCCCAGCAATACATATGATCAAGAGTCTACATGATGCAGCTGAATCATCAGCATCAATGGAGCTTCTGGTCTAGCACACCGACGCTGCAAGCTGAGCTAGAGTCGTGTTTGCAGAAGAACACGCCGTCCGAAGATCAATTCCACAGTCTTTTTCAACATGAGCGAATCCAAGTACAGTACTAATTTAGATTCTCCCGAATGCGTAGCGAAGGGTTCTCGTTTAAATCTTGGGTTTCTGGGGGTGGAGCTTTGTTCGCGACCCGTTGCTTCTATGTTCGCAACCGTCCGCAACCGTCCGCAACCGTCCGCAACCGTTCGCAACCGTTCGCAACCGTTCGCAACCGTCCGCAACCGTTCGCAACCGTCCGCAGTAGAGCGCTAAGGCGCTGCCATTGGGGGAAGCTTTTGCAAGTGACTTTTCATGGATGTGTCACGTGTCAGTTTGCGCCGCTATTCCATTGTGATTTGCATGAAAATGAGATGTCGCGCAAGAAACGTGATGCGTTTCGCTGCACAGGCGCAGCGTTTTGTGAGATCTGCAGATTGCTGCGCAGTTCCATTGGGATTAGCGTTTGGAGAGTCGTGTTTTTGGGGTGTTGGATGTGGCCGTGCCATTGGGATTTGCGTTTCAGGGTGTGGCATCGAAGCTCTGTTTTCGTGACAAGTCTCAGCTGAATTTTGGTGGATGGGAGTGTGCTCAGAACGGGTCGAAATCATTCCAAACGTGTGGTGTGGTGCAAATTTTGTTGAAGCTCACATGAGATGACATTGTTACTTTTCGTGGCAGGCGCAGGACTTTGTGCGGGTTTTGAGGTGTGGAAGTGGAATTTTCGCGGCAGGCACAGGGAATCGTGAGGTTGCGATGTGTGACGGAGGTGACATTTCGTGGCAGGCACAGTACTTTGTGCGCGTTAGACGTGTGGACGCGGAAAGATTCGTGGCAGGCGCAGGGAATCGAGAGGTTGTGAGTTGTGGTAGAGGTGAATGTCGCTGTCGCATTGGGATTGGCGTGTGAGCGGGTGTCGTTTGGAGGGGCTGGACTCGCGAAACTGCTTGGCAGGGCTGGGTGATGTGTGTGCTCCGATGGGTGTTTCCGCTGGACTTTTGGAGGAAGTCTCGTGCGAAACGTTCGTTTTGGAGACTTTGACATGTGAGTTTTTGAGGAAGTCTCGTACGAAACGCTCGGTTTGGGGGACTTGACATGTGACTTTTGGAGGAAGTCTCGTACGAAGCGCTCGTTTTGGAGACTTGACGTGTGACTTTTGGAGGAAGTCTCCAAAGAAACGCTCGTTTTTGAGACTTGACGCGTGACTTTTGGAGGAAGTCTCGTACGAAACGCTCGTCTTGCCGCCTCGCAGTGTGACTTTTGGAGGAAGTCTCGTACGAAGAGTGTGCCCTACAGGAGTGTCCCACAAGAGTGTTCTACAAGAGTGTCCCACAAGAGTGTCCTACGAGAGTATCCCACAAGAGTTTCCTACAAGAGTGTCCCACAAGAGTGTCCCACAAGAGTGTCCCACAAGAGTCTCCTACAAGAGTGTCCCACAAGAGTGTCCCACAGGAGTGTCCCGTATGAGTGTCCCCCAAGAGTGTCCCGCATGTCCCACAAGAGTGTCCTCACAAGAGTGTCCCACATGTGTGTCCCACAAGAGTGTCCGACAAGAGTGTCCCATAAGAGTGACCCACAAGAGTGTCCTACAAGAGTGTGCAACAAGAGTGTCCCGTAAGAGTGCCCCACAAGAGTGTCCTACAAGAGTGTCCCACAAGAGTGTCCCACAAGAGTGCCCTACAAGAGTGTCCCGCAACAGTGTCCCGCAAGAGTGTCTCACAAGGGTGTCCCTTAAGAGTGTCCCACAAGAGTGTGCCGCAACAGTGTCCCACAAGAGTGTCCCACAAGAGTGTCCCACAAGACCTACAAGGGTGTCCCACAAGAGTGTCCCACAAGAGTGCCCTACAAGAGTGTCCCACAAGAGTGTCCTACAAGAGTGTCCCACAAGAGTGTCCTACAAGAGTATCCCACAAGGGTTTCCTACAAGAGTGTCCTCTAAGAGTGTTCCACAAGAGTGTCCCACAAGAGTGTCCTACAAGAGTGTCCCACAAGAGCGTCCCGCAAGAGTGTCCCAAATGAGTGTCCCACAGGAGTGTCCCACAAGAGTGTCCCGCAACAGTGTCCCGCAAGAGTGTCTCACGAGAGTGTCCCTTAAGAGTGTCCCACAAGAATGTCCTACAAGAGTGTCCCGCAAGAGTGTCCCAAATGAGTGTCCCACAGGAGTGTCCCACAAGAGTGTCCCGCAACAGTGTCCCGCAAGAGTGTCTCACAAGAGTGTCCCACAAGAGTGTCCC